TGAGCTGCTATATGCAGCAACACCCGAAGAGTGGTCATCTTCGAGGTCGGAGCGAAGGTCTCGAAGAAGTCTACCCCCTCGCACTGACTGAAGCCTCTCGCCACATAGCGCGCCTTGAACACCGGTGGTGATCCAGGCGGCCGCTTCACCTTGTAGAGCCACATGCCACTGACGACGTTCGGCCCAGGTGGTGGGACGGCGTCAACGTAGGTGCGTGTGGACCTATAAGATGCCATCTCTGCCTCCTCTGCTGCTATCCAGAACGAAGCCCAGGGTCCCAAGACCGCCTCAGCGTGAGTGCAAGGGATCGAGATGTCAAGGGCGTGTGGATCCTTCCTCAGGGGCAAGCAGCATGGCGAAGAGATGAGGAACAGCGGCCGCAAGGAAACCAAGCTCAAACTGCCTGCCCTCGAGGACCTCCAAGGGAAAGACAGGAGCACCCCCAGTGGACGGAGAACGAGCAGGGCCACTCACCAGGTGAGCGGCGTAGTCAAGGCGGTGGGAAGAGGCAAAGCCAGCGACAGTGAAAATATGAGCCAAGACAAACAACGGGGGGGTAGTGGGGTGAGTGACCAACGCGGACAAAACACGGGAGACGACAGGAAAGGAGGCACGGAGGTAGTCGGACAACGGGTCGTGAAACACAGTGAGGGACGACTCAGGAGGCTATGGAAGGATAGGAGGAGGTGGAACACGAGAGCGGAGAACAAGGTGGAACGGCCCGTCCGCACGGTAACGGGACCAACGGGGCTGTGGAGATACAGCACGACTGAGGGGAGAACGACGAGTCCACGGGGACGAGGAAAGGGACCCGACAAGGGGAACAGGAGGGGACGGTAGAGGACCACGAACCAATCGTGCAGGTGTAGGGTCGGCCAAGTCGCACAGTCGGTGCTTCTCTACCTCCCCTGGCGTCCGCTGCGACGGCACCTGCCCCTGATGCTGCTCCTGTGGCTCCTCCTCTGCCTTCTCCTGCTACGACTTCAGCTGCACCTCTTGCTGCGACCGGGACTCCTGAGCTACCCTCTCCTGCTGCGGCCGTGACTCCTCCTCTACTCTCTCCTGCTATGTCTGCAACTGCACCTGCTGCTGCTGCTGCTGCTGGTGCTGGTGTTACAGCTGCTGCCGTGCCTCTCAAACCGCTCACGGTCCTCCCTCTCCAACCGGAGGAGACGCTGCTCACGGGTTAGGAAACGTACAGTGCGTGGTGTAGGCGCCACAGTGCCAGTGCCTCCAACTCCAGCACCCCTAGAACCAGCACCTCCACCACCAACACCCCCGTGCCTCTTGTACCTCCCGCAGGAACACCCCCACGCTCCGTAGCAACCGGCTGCAGAGAAGATCGAGGAGGGAACTGCGGGACGGACTGGAAGCCAGGGGGTGACGCGGGGCGAGGCCGCCGAGTCGAGGCTGCCGTGTCCTCCACGGGAGTGACCTCCACGCCCACACCCCCTGCACCCCCATAGTCGACACCACCAGCTCCAGCAGCCCCAGCACCCTCACTCTCCGTAACTGCATCTCCCGCACCCCCTGACACGACAGGGACCGGACGCTGCGGGGGGGACGACTGCTGAGTGACGTACGACACACGTGACGGGGCAGGACGCGAAGGGGGGGGGGGCTACCGGGACGACTTGGGGGGGCTCAAGGGTGAGGAACAGCGAGGACCTCAGTACCTCGGTGGGGGCGACTCCTGTAGTAACAGACAGACTTGGCGAACGTGATGTCCTGAGAAGCGAAGAACTGGTAGGTGACCGGGTCGTAGAACACCCAGCGGGAGGCATCCAAAGGGAAGCTAAGAAAGAAGCAGGCACGAGTGCGCGGGGACCACTTGTTCACGCCGGGGGCGCGAACGTGAGCCAGAGAACCCCAAACAGCTGCTACGCGCGGAGAACCTATCCAAACGGAAACCGGCGTCACCCGTGGCCGTGCGTCACTGGTCCACAGGTTCAGCTGGTGCGCGGCGTAGCGGACTGCCTGAGGCCACAGGAACTGGGGGGCATCAGCATGGCACATGGAGGTCCGGGCAACCTCCATGACCAGGCCAATGCGTCGCTCGGCTATCCTATTCTGCTGCGGCGAGGCTGGTAGCGTGTAAGACTGTATGATCCCCCGACCATGAGAGAACGTCTCCAGACGAGTAGAAGAAAACTCAACACTACGGTCCGAGTGTAGGCGGAGCCCACACAGGCCCTCGCCTCCACCCCTCGCTAGTAGCCACGGCTCGAGGACGGTAGGCACGTCGGCCTTCCGTCACAAGGGGAAAACCGTGGTGTAGCGAGAGTAGTCATCCACCACAATTAGGAAGTAGCGCTCGTGACGTGGGCCAAGGACCGGAGAGGGGCCCCAGACGTCCAAGTGCAGGGTCTGGAAGGGAGCCGTGGTGGGGGGGAACGAGGAGGAGTGAGGGGCAGCGCGCCTCAGACCAGACGATGACGTACTATCCTACTGAGAAGTGGGAACGACGGGTGACCTAGACGGTGGTGCCAGAGGACTGACGGGTGGGTGAGGGACCGACAGTCGCACGACACAGCAGCTACCTGACTTGACCCGGCCTGACCTGACCCTGTGTGCTGGGACCCAGTGTGTAGTGAGTAGAGACCAGAGCCCGGCTCCCTGTGGAAAGTGGCTAGAAGCACCCAGTGGCACCGACTATGCAGGAGGCAACATGCTCGTCGAGTGGGAAAGTAGTGACTACACCTAGGTCGTGGAGGTGACTGACACCCACCAGGTTCCTTGAGAACGAGGGGGTGTAGTAACCTGTCAAAAACCCAGAAGGAGCCGCCGGACAAGGCGCGCTGACGAGAGTGGTGGTGCTGTTGGCAACGACAGGTCCCACGGAGGGGTCAGCCAAGGCGACCGTGACTGGAGTGTGCAGTGGCGTGAGGTCAGTACAGTCGCGAAAGAAACAGCTGGACGCTCCAGAGTCTAGGGTGAAGGAAAGCTATGTATGCTGTGGAGTCGCACCCGAGCCAGCGACAAAGGCTGGTGCTAGACTAGTGGTAGCTGCAGCTCCTACACTAAGACCCTCAGAGGCGCCTGGACTGGAAACTGTTATGTGATGCTATCATTTGCACTCACGTCTGTCTGCCTCCCATCATATGTTCGTGCGTTGCATGCGTGGTGTGAGCGTGTGCAAGAATTTGTGTTCGGAGTGGTTTGGATTTTCTGAGTGTGCATGAATTTTATTATGCTTGAGCAGATATCTGAAATGACTCCTCTGCTCAAGAGCTTTCCGATGAACCAATAATCGTCGCGATCGGAGCAAGAATGACGAGGTTATGATCGTTCGCAGTTTTGATTGGGATGCGACGACTTTGGGAAGTTTGCTGGTTGGCTCCATAAGGGGTACAGACTTTTGGGGGTTGAGAAATTCGTCACTCTACTGTAGATTGATGCCAAATGGTTGGGAGAAGTCAAACCAGGTTGGCAAGTGTGGCCAAGTTGAGTGAGGTGGATTGCATGAGTTGGGAAAGTGACAAATGTCAAAGTTGGGGTGCCTATAGAGGGGGGAATTGTGTGGTATGGGGTTTCTTTGGTTGGGGACTCCTTGGGGACCTTCCCTCTCGTCCTCCTCATCCCCTCCTACCTGGTTTCGAGATACTCTAATTCTCTTGTGTGACTCTTGGGAAACAATTGTGATTGAGTTAAGTTTCTATGGCAGCATACCCCTTAGTGCGCCGAAATTGATAACTCGAATTATACTCCATTTTTTTATACGATTCAAATTGGGAAAGATAGCCACGGTCAAGGGCGACAACATACTCGAGTTTGAGAGAATTCTACCAGTGCGTTTTCCGTCGACAGTGTTTCTTGTGACGACGACTTTTCTGTTCAGAATAGTTGTTGACGATTTTGAGATATTTCGGCCCCTAGTCTTTATAGACGCCGTCCTTTGTCCCTAACAAGTGGTATCATAGCAATTGAGGACCTTTTGAAGAGTCTACTGAGGTGTGAATACCCTCCTAGACCCACCATGGCCTGTGGGCGTGCCTAAGTGGAGTTCTAGAGGTTGGATGTAACTTCCGCAAAGGGGAAACTCTGCCGAAATTCTCGTTGGCGCTGACACTTGTGAAAATATTGGAGATCTTCAGTGTGGACATCAAAGGGGTGGAGTTGAACCTGTGATTGGGAGCAGAGGAGATGAATCAAGGGAGTGGAGATGCAGCTGAGAAGAGGAGTGAACTGCCACCATCCAAAATCGAAGCTTTGGATGGCTCCAATTATGAGGAATGTAGCGGGCGGATGAGGAGCCCTTTCAAGCGCTACAAGTTGCTGAAAATTGCGATGGGGGAAGAGAAGATGCCAGAGGAAGGAGATGCCCACGATCGATGGATTGAGAAGAGCACGGTGCTGTACGATCTGATCCTACAGTCCGTCAACAACGACGTGTTCCAGCATATCAAGGACTTGGTGGAGCTGGATGACTCCGGACCGAAGGCGTGGAAGCTACTACGCGACGTGATTCAGCCCAACACGCTGCCGATGGTGATTGTGTTGGAGAAGGAGTTGGCTGCCCTCTCCATGCGACCGGGAGACGATGTGAAGCCGGTCCTTGACAAGATCAAGGACACCTATGCGAGGATGGCAGCAGTGCACCAAGATCATCTCGGTGCTGGACAATTCGTGGGACAACCTCATCTCCACCCTCAACACTCAGCAGGACCAGTGGACACCAGAGTGGCTACGGCAGCAGATTCTGCAGGAGGACTTCCACAGGCGCCACACGGGAGGTGGTGCTGCCAACAAGACTGCTGAGGGGTATGGAGAAGCGGGAGGCAGCAGAGGAAGAGGGGGTGGGAGAGGCCGAGGCCGTGGGAGAGGTTTTGGTAGAGGGAGAGGCCGAGGCGACTACAACGAGGGGCATGGGAGCTCTGGTGGCAGGGGGAGCACCAGAATGGAAGGAGCCTGCTGGTACTGCAAGAAGGCTGGACACCCGTGGTTCAAGTGTTTCAGCCGGCCTGAAGGTTCTAGGCGGTTCTAGACGGTTCTGGGCGGTTATGGGCGGCCCTGGACGGTCCTGGGCGGTTCTGGACGGTTCTGGACGGTCCTAGGCGGTCCTGGGCGGTTCTGGGCGGTTCTAGGCGGTCCTGGGCGGTTCTGGGCGTTCCTGGGCGGTTCTGGAGGGCTGGAGGCAGCCGAAGGTGGCGGACTGCAGGGCGTACGAGGAGGGGACACGACGGGGCTGGCGGATGGGGCTGGCGGACGGGGCTGGCGACGGGGCTGGCGGACGGGGCTGGCGACGGGGCTGGCGGACGGGGCTGGCGATGGGGCAGGCGGACGGGGACGTGACGGGGTTGGCGTACAGGGACGCGACGGGGCTGGCGACCGGAGCTGGCGGATTGCAGGGCGGCGGGGAGGGGACGAGATGGGTAGGGGAAGAGGAGGCGACGGGGAGGGGACGCGACGGGGAGGCGACGAAGAGGGGACGCGACGGGGAGGCGACGGAGAGGGGACGCGACGGGGAGGTGACAGAGAGGGGACGCGATGGGGAGGCGACGGGGAGGGGATGCAACGGGGAGGGGAGGCGACGGGGAGGGGATGCGATGGGGAACCGACGGAGAAGGGACGCGGCGGGGAGGCGACGCGGAGCATCCTAAAAATATTTTCGAGGGGGTTGGGGTACCAAGGCATGAAGTAGGGATTCCCAAACATTGGTTATGGTGAGTGTGATGTATGTGCGCTGAAGCTACATTCTATTCGATGTACCACGTACAAACCATGCTTGCCGAGCCTACCCAAATGCAGACTTAGCAGCATGTACAGCCTTGATAGTGGCGACTAGGTGTAGACTTTGACGAGGGGGCGAAGCCAGGATGTTCGAGCCTACATTTCTGAGGGGGTTCCTAGCCTATATACGAACCACCAGGCATGTGCTTCGGTTTGGCTTTGCCAAAAATGTTGGATTCGTAATCGTCGATCAGACACTCCTTGAACGGTGTTGATCAGAATATCGAAATTGTTGAAAACAAAAAAACGTCGATCTTTATTTCATTGGATGGTCGAGATTTGTGCTGCCTCACCTTGTACCCTTTCTGGAAAGTTAGCGAGATTACAATAGGTTGGAAAATCAACCGTCGATCTCAATAAGGTTGGATGGCTACGATCTGACGAAGCTGCACATCAAATTTGCCACGCTGGCCATTTAAGGTCTCGTGATTTATTTTGGTGCTTCGAGTGATTAGTTAGCAATTCATAACCGTCGATCGATCTGGTAATCAAAGGCCACGATCGAGAGATGAAAGGAGTTTGCAGAAGATAATGAACCATTGTTTCCGATATGTTCGTGTTCCATGAACTCCAGATTCCCTGGAGGAACCCACCACAAAAGAGAGAGAGCCAACAGATGGGCTTCAGTTTCTCAGAGCACTTCCAAGCTTCCATCGAACTCTCTAGTTCCTTTTACTTCTAGTTCACCTTACCACGCTTTGTGGTTTCCTTACATCCAGTATTGGCTTATCGCTGCTTCTTGTATTCACGCTACTTCAGCGAACCCTGATAGCATGACGGCAACATGGGCGTGGGCGTGTGTGCAACGGCATCGTTGTCCATACACAACGCGTAGTTTTTTGGTGTATTGTGGCGCTAACAATAACGCTACTTGAGTGTGTCGCGATTTTGCATGCGTTTGGCTTGCCCGTGGAGTAAATGCGTCAAGGCCATTATTTCGTCATTCCTTCTTAGTAGATTTTGCAGGCTAAAGTTTTGACACTACCTCTTGCATGTGTCGCGATTTTGCAATGAGTGGATAATGTAGATATGCAGTAAATACTTTGTCGAGTCGCCAACATGTTTTGGGATGAGGGGATGCGACGGGGAGGCGACGGGGAAGGGACGCGATAGGGAGGCGACGGGGAAGGGACGCGACGGGGAGGGCTGCGGGGGGGAAGCGCCCTTTAACGCGCGACTCGGGGGCCTTCCTAGGTCGCGACGTGGGGGGGACCCGCGGGGGTCCTTCTAGCTTGTGATTCGGGGGGCGCGTAGGGGCCTTCCTAAGTCGCGACGTGGGGGACCCGCGGGGGTCCTTCTAACTCGCGATTCGGGGACCCGCGGGGGTCTCTCTCTAGCGCGCGATTCGACAGAGGGGGGGGGGCTGGCGCTAAGGGGTGACGGGGCACTAGGGGTAATGCATTACTAACAGGCGAGCGCGTGGCGGTGGGCCCATGGGAATCAAACTGCTCTATACCATGTAAACGAGGTAACGGAATAATGAATGAGTGGAAACAAGCAGTACAAGGGAGTATATAGCAAACCCTAAGGGGGTTGTACCCTCTACAGCATAACTCGGTGTAACACCTAGACTATACTAACAAACTATAACAATTATGGTTTGACAGGTGCCGCAGCAACAGCCGCCAAAGGAGGCGGAGCAGCAGCGACTGAGAGACCTACCCGACTCAGCACCTGCATGCTTTGTTCGTGGTCCCCTCCCGTCCCCGCCCCGTTCCCCCTGACCAGTCCCTTTCATTGTATCCGTGGTCTCGTCATTCTCCTGTTAGTCGAGCTGTGTCCCAAGAGCCTCGTTGGTCCCGTTACCGTGCCGACAGCCGGTTTCACCTTGTTCTCTGCTCCCGTGTTCCACCTCCTCCGGTCCTTCCACAGCCTCATGGGTTGTCCCTCACTGTGTTCACGACCCATTGTCCAACTTCCTCCGTGCCTCTCGCTATGTCGTCTCCCGTGTTGTGTCCGTGTTGGTCACTCACCCAATTGCCCCTCCGCTGTCTGTCTCGGCCCTTGTCACTACTGTCAGTGCCTTCCCACCGCCTTAACTACGCCGCTCACCTGGTGAGTGGCACTTCTCGTTCTCCGCCCTCTGGGAATGCTCCTCTCTTTCCCTTGGAGGTCCTGGAGGACAGGCAGATCGAGCTTGGTTTTGTGGCGGCCGCTGTTCTCCATCTATGCGCCATGTTGCCTGCCCCTGAGGGGGATCCAGACGCCCTTGACATCCCGATCCCTCGCACTCAAGCCGAGGCGGTCTCGGGACCCTGGGCTTCGTACTGGATAGCAGCTGAGGAGGCAGATATCACATCTTATAGGTCCACAGACACCTACGTTGACGCCGTCCCACCACCTGGGACGAACGTCGTCAGTGGCATGTGGCTCTACAAGGTGAAGCGGCTGCCTGGATCACCACCTGTGTTCAAGGCGCGCTATGTGGTGAGAGGCTTCAGTCAGCGCGAGGGGGTAGACTTCTTCCAGACCTTCGCTCCCACCCCGAAGATGACCACTCTTCGGGTGTTGCTGCATATCGCCGCTCAGCGTGACTACGAGTTGCACTCCTTGGGCTTCTCCACACCGTTTCTTGATGGGAGCCTGCACAAGGAGATCTGGCTTCGTCGCCCGCCTGGCTTCACTGGCTCTTTCCCTCCTGGGACCATGTGGCAGCTGCGTCGACCGGTCTACGGCCTGCAGCAGGCTCCTCGTGAGTGGCATGGCACACTTCGCACGACTCTTGCAGCGCCTGACTTCGTCTGTAGTGGCTCGACCACGTTCTTTGTTCTGGTTTACGTTGACGACCTGTTCTTCGCCACCTCCGAATGACGCGCAATGGCCTCCGTGAATGAGGAACTGCAGAGGAGACACACGTGCGCTAACCTTGATGAGCTGCAGCACTACCTTGGCCTGCATATCACCAGGTTCAGGGCCGCTATATCTTGTTTGTGTTGAATGCATGTCATTTTGAGTGCATGTCATCCTAACGTCCTGCCGAGTGCTCGTGCCATTTGTGCTTGCATAATTTGCATAAGCATATATCATTACGCATGGCTGTTTGATTTTACAATCTCTGTGTTTTTCTCCAAGTTTAATTGCTTGATCATGCAGGAGAAATACAGAGCTCTCCAACGATACCAAGATCGCCTAAGTTACAAGATTTCCAAGACTTGGATTTCTTATTAGCTTTTGGGTGATTACTTGGACATGACTATAAAGAGATCTTTGGTTGGGTGGTTAGGAAGGCAACTTTGACTTTTGGTTTCGGGTGGCTAGAAGTTTCTAGCATGGGTTGCAAATGTTGCATCACCTAGACAAAATCCAACTAGATTGGATTTTGCATGTGACACCTCAAGGATCTCATGATGAGGATTGCATCCTTGCTGCTAGGAAGGTTCCTACCATCCTTCCCTAGCTCTTGGAGAACCCCTTCCCTCTCATGGTTCTCTTGGAGTCCCCAACTCCAACTTTCTATGCCTTAATGCTGGTACTTCCTTCACCAGACTAGTCATGCGGCTGCTAGACGTTTTTCAAATGGTTCTCACTCTCTAGACCATGTTTCTAAGTGATTCGAATTGGAGATGGTAGCTAAGCCTAAGGCGCATAATCCTACTGAGCGGATTTGCGTTTAGTTGAGAAATGAATTCGTCGTAAGTTCTCAAAGTGACGGATCCTGAACAACAGTTTGTTTCTACATTCCTTAGTCAATTCATTACGCTAGTTAGTTCTTGACATGACCGACACGAGCACGACGCAACTACCTGACAAGACGGAGGAAACTCGGTAGATGGAGTGTGCAGCGTGAAAATACCTTGCGCATTGTCTTGGGGGAATGTTGCAAAATATGTCCCAGTGGTAAGGTCCGTGCAGGTCACAAGTAACTTATGTCTATGAAACGTGGTGGTGACACCAAGGTCCGAGAGGCCGAGGGGGTGTGCAGACTTGTGAGAGAGGCGGAGAGGACTGCCAGTCACGAAAGTGAAAGGCCCCGCCCTCGCTTGGGCGCACCCGATCTCGCCGTCGACGAGAAGTTCTCGACGGAGTGGTAATCGAGTAGGCTTCTGCTGTTCGACGGAGGTAGCGGTGGAGCAGGCTCTGCTTGACGGAATCTGGTCGACATTGTCGATGGGCAGCACTGGTCGAAGACAGCGGTAGACGAGGCCTGTCGAGGAGCGGTGGTCGACGAGGTCCGTCGAGGAGCGCTGGTCGACGACAGTGGTCGACGAGCCCGTCGATAAGTGCTGGTTGACGAGGCACGTCGAAGAACTTTGGTCGAAGAGCTCTGGTCGAGGAGCTCTGCTCGACGAACGCTGTTCGGCAGAGCGGCGTCGAGGTGGTCGACCGAATTCGCAGAGGTGTGCGAAACTATGGTGAGGTGTGCGAAATTCACCTAGGAGGTTTTGGCGAAGTTCGACCTGCGGAACGGCAGCACGTGCTCGAAATTTGGCACCTGGCAAAACCGACGACACGTTTTCTACCTAGCACCTGCGCAATGTGCTTGGCGGTGAAATCATTGACCTGCACCTACTTGGTATGTGCGCACATGTGCGCAGATAGTCACATGCGACTGCAGTGCTGGCAGACCGCGCCCAATGCAACGCTGGCAGACCGCTCTTCTGCTGCACTAACAGAGTTCGCCCTGCAGAGTGCTTGCTAGGTGTTGCATGCCATTCTAGTTTTTTTACGTGGATGCCTCATTTGTAGTGTAATGTTCTCACAATTTCTTAGTGAAATTGTTGCCAAATCTCTGTGTGAACACATCAAGTAGTGAGGACGCCTAGTGCAACGCTACAATCACCCTGTTGCGTAGTGACTTTCAGCAGAAGTGCTGTAGCACTGCGTACGACGACTGATCTAGAGGAGATGTCGGCCAAGGAGACTGCAACAA